TCATCGCTCTCATCTCATTTGATTATTCTCTTTGTTGGAGGGCAGTGTGCCAATAACAATAAACCGAATATTCTAATCAACTATCTTTCGAAAACTCTCTGTGTATCCCAATCATTCAACACCGTCCACTTTCCAAAATGGCAAGAAGCAACTCAAAGCGAAAGTATGATTCCAAGAAGAGGACTCAAAAGAACAAAGCCACCGAGAAACAACACAACAAACTCAAGGTTGCACGCGAAATCTCACGCAGGAATCAAATCGCCTGTGAATACGGACTTCCAGATACTGCAAAGTTCTTCTTCTTAGAGAAAAAACCCTCATCAGTACCAAGGAAGTTATTCCATCATGGGATCGTGGTCTTGGTTGACAAAAAATCGCTAGAGCTCCTTTTGATTGCCCAATTCAACGAGTTCAGCGACATGCATCCCGAGCTTCTCGTCCAATTTGAATCCTCAATATCTACATTTTATCTTCATGGTATCTCCAGGGGATTTGTGAAGAATAATGGTGCAACTTGTGGAGTCAATAGGCCTGGAGATATGAGGGCCATGGGTTGGCGCTCCGCAGCGGGTGTAGCTGCCGATGTTGGAAAAGATGTTTGTGAGTTCTTCTATATATTTACATTCTAAATCCAGCTAGGTGACTGTGACTGATGAAACCCCAATTAGGTCACTACTCCCTTAATCAAGCAACATCCAAATCCGAGGGAAAGATTTGGATTGATATTGAACGCAATTCACTTCTTCTGCCTCAGGCCAAAGACTTTTGGGCAGAAAGGTTTTCGATTCTTTCGATGTCAGCTTTTTCCGCCAATTCACAGATTGCAGCTGAAGCCAGTGTCCCTTCTTTCGACTCTCCAGGATGGGAGACATCTGCTAATAGCCAAGTCTGGGCCTCCAATGTGGCCATTACTCGTGATAATTTTACCAATAAACCACATCGTGATAAGGATGCCACACCTTATGCATTTGGAATGTTTGCAAGAGTCAATAGAGAAACCGGCAAGCCTCACGATATAATCAAGAACCCCTCTGATTGTCACATTGAAGGTTCTATTTTTTGTTTATCAGACTACGCTGTTGGTATTGATTTTGATAATTGTAATGGGATTGTTGAGATTATGGAAAACGCAAGTCAAACACTTTACACTCAAGTCCACCACGAAGAACAAGCTGACAGGGAAAGAAATCATCCCATCCAAGGCATTTTTGACACGGTTTGGGTCCTCTTGCCAAATCTCTTCCAGGTTGGTGAAATTGGGTAAGGCATTAAAACTAAAGAAATCAAGAATGTCAAGGAAGGCGTGGGAGTTGTATACAAAGGATCATATAAAGGGTTATGACCAGCAGGTATACGTCAAATTAGATAAGTTGTCAAAATGAAAGGAGATCTAAGATTTGATTCAATTTTGTAAATAAAATATGTCTTTCTATACTTTTTTGAACAAAAACTTTTGTATATAACACAGTGCACACTTCCAATTGTTTAATCCAAAACCCAGTGGGGAGTTTAGTTCGAATCAATTTAAAGTAAGTGTTAACCAATGTATAATCATCAAGAGGAAAAGGTTCAAACTGCAAAGCAACAATATAAACTTTTAAATACAAACTTTTTGCAAATCCCAGCTAAACTCTAACTAACTGAAAGGCAGAAGGTCAAGGAAACTGGAGCAGTGATTGATACGGTTGATAATTCAGGCTACATGATCTTTTTTGAAGTTTCTTTGAAGATGCAAAAAATGATGAAGGGTTCAATATTGAACAGTGTAAAGTAAATTCTAATGGTGCTCTGTGATTTGACCAGCGTTGGGTTCTAACTTTTTGAAGAACCCCCTTGAAGACTAGCCACTTTGTTGAACACATCTATGTAAACATCACGAGCCTCATCTACAGTTGCCTCAGGCTGACTCTGAAACCTGTTGAACATAACTTCGTAATCAACCTCTTTGATCCATTTGCGATAACGATACATGGAGCTAGTGAACTTCCATTCACCACCAAAGTGGGCTATCCATTTTTGCTTTGGTCTGCCAGTCAAGGCATCCTTATACCATGCAAGGAGGGTAGAAACCAGGACTGTCGTTCCAGGCCAACCACCTTGAAGCTCGGTTGTTGATGAACTAATTGTTGGTGTACAGAGTAGAGTATCCGTCAGTCAGTGAGTGCAGGTGTAAGTAGATATTGCAAAGGATCTTACTTTGTTTCAATCTCATCTTCCCGTGTTTCAATATCCCCAACAGATGGTTGCACGGGTCCAGATAAAAGGTCACTGGGACTTGGGAGTTCTGCCGAGTCATTGGGTGACTGGGTCAAATCAATGTGCGGAGTGGCTGGGGTAGGTGATGGAGATGGAGATGTTTGGGATGATGACGAAGGGAAATCCTTCCCTTGTGTGTCCATTTGAAAGCCTGTTGCATTGGCGACTGATAGTGAGCAATCAGTTTGTTGTGCTGGTATGGATTTTTGAGATATAAGCGGAGTTGTTGGTGAAGAGGGAGTTTCGCAGATTGCTGGGAGATCTGATGTTGATAAAAAGGCGGAAGTTGGGGGGGTCTTTGCAAAGATGGCGGCTACGGAGTGGTGTGTAGCTGTTCGGGGGATTACAACCGTCTGGAGACGCGCCACGATCTTGCGTTGGTCGGCTCGGAAGCGGTGTGGATATTGGACCAGTGTGTCACACTACAGAAATAAAGAATCTCACCATATCAGTATCAGCAAAGGACACATGAAAGACGAGCCTGAATGGAGCTTACCCATCCCCCATTTTTTTCATCCCAAAAGCTCAGCGCACGATTCCACTGTGGAACTGCTTCCATCACTGCCTGCATCAAAAGCTCGCATTGGTCAAAACATGCTTGAGGCCACTGTGGAAATACTGCAGTGTAAGCTTTTGGTTCAACAGCCTGTAGTCGGGGAAGTGATTGCAAGGTATGGAAAAAAACATCAAAAAGATATGGAAATAAACATCAAACAATGTCATAAGACAAAGCATAATAAATTAGACACATACATTGAGCCATAAGTATATGGTGGCCATTTTGCTTAAGTCGAAGCGGTTCGAATGCTGGTGTGCAGATTTTTCTCGTTCAATTCGATTTTGATGAATCAGGGCCATACTTTGAGATGATACCAGGCGCCCAATGGAATTTGATGATTGGGCCCACTGGTGAGGGGTGGAGCTCGCTGCTGAGGCTCTTGATTGTGCTGCCGATTGAGAGTTGGCCGTAGCAGCTTTGGCAATTGGCTGAGCTTGATGGCCAAAGAGTTCCAGTTGCTGAGGCGGAATCACAGATTTGCGTGGGTGTTTGGTACATAAAGCTGAGCCGAATTCAGTGCAACACTTGAGATCAAGGAAAAAATCAGTTGCTGAATTAAAAAAGGTAGGAGACGCAATCTTACCCCACGACAATACTGAGATGGACACCCTTTGTTTCCGGCGTCCTTATGGTTTTGAGACAATGAACCCTCATTGACTCGTTTGCAAACAACGTGTGGTTTTTGGACAGGGCGAGGATATGGATGATGTCGTCCAGTAGAGCAGTTCGCAGCCGCGGTAACGTCATCAAGGATTTCGCCTTGTGTTGATACTCTAGGTCCCCAATCACCGGGTTTGGAGACAATTGGTCGAGGAGTTCCGAGGTTGATCATGGCAAGTTCATGGTTGAGTTGATCACATCTCCAGGTCTTCCAATTGTGTTCGTTTTGAGGGGTAGGGCACTGCGGGTTGGAGGAAATTTTTCAGCTTTTGGTTAGGTTTCAAGTAAATTCTTGCTACTGGATGGCCGGCTCGATTACCAAACGAGGTCGCTGCACTGCCGTCTCCCTCCCCCTTTGACATACAGGAC